TGCTAGTAGTGACAGCATAAATGGTAGAACCACTCTGAGAGAATTTGGCCTCTCACAGTCCTCAGATTACCTGCAGAAGTAAATACTCTGCCTCCCAGCACATCCATTTCCTGGTTGAGTCCTAGGAAAAACTTTTTCATAGATTCATAAGAACACATTTGAAGGAATGTTCACTGTAGTATTGTCTGTAGTGTTCAGAAATTGCAAACAGCCGGTAACATAAATGAAACATACTGCAGAACAGCTACAGTGAATAAAATAGATATATATTGGGAACATGTATATGTACTGATAAAATAAGTACATGTGTGTCGATAATAATAAATTACATATGTATTGGTAATAATAAAAAGTAAAATATGTATTGATAATAAATGATACATGTATTGATAATAATACATAATAAAACATTTTGATAATAATAAATTCAAAAATATTCCTGGTAATGAAGTCCCCAAATGAGTAGTAGAGTGGTTGCTTGAGGTGAGGCAGTGGGATGGGGGAGGAGTGGCAAGAGGGCTCTAGGTGCTGCAGAAGCAGACGTGTTCACGTTTGCTAAGACTGGATGCTGGCTACAGCGGTGGTGTGCTCTCTCCACCAGGCTCTCCAATCAGATTTTCTCCGACGCTAGAAATCTCCTGTAGCTGCACTCACTGTCTGATATGGTAGCACTTGAAATGTGGCTAGTGTGACTGAGGAACTGGATTTTTAATCTTACTGAATTTTAATTTTAATTTAAATCCCCACTTGTGGCTAGTGTGACTGTTGGACACTGGTGCGCTGTGCTTTTTTAGTTAATAGAGGACCAAATGCACGTATTTTTTTAGAAGGAGTTGTTCAGTGGCTTAGCGATTCTGCTTCCTGACAGACTGTTGTAGATGTGCTTATGAAGTTGTAAGTGCCACCAGCTGGGTAGCTTAAAGCAGGTATTTTACAGATATTTTTGTTTTCAAAATCTGTTTGATTCTTGACTTTAGGTAATTAATGTCCGAATATTAAGAGTATGGAGAGCGAGGACTCCCCGGTTTCTGAGTTTAATATGGTGAGATCTTGGATAGAGAGGGCAGGGATCTGTGTTGTAACATTACCTTTAGTTGGGAGAAAACTGGGAATAACCTAAAGTTCTGTAATAGAGGAATGGATAAAAAAATGTGGCCTATTGGCCTACGATACAGTGCTTGGGTGGAATGAAGTAGAGACGATTTTCAACTGTTTAACTGGTATGGCACCAAAGTCACCCAGTAAGAATGGCTGTTGACCAGAGTCCTCTGTTCTCTGCTGTGCGTTAATTGCCAAACCATGAGGAGGTCCCCAGGGAGTTGCTTGGGGCAGCAGCTTTTTACTAACTAACTAGTATAGAAGTAGTTCATTAAAAAAAAAGAGTACTATCAGACTGGCATATGTGGTGAATATTAATTCTTCTTACATGTATCAATATAGAGGAGTTGCAAAAACACCTTGAGTAAACAAATTAAGATGCGAACAATGACTTAAGTGTATCAGTTTACTAGTGCTGCCCTAATAAACTGGGTAGCTTAAAACAACAGAAATGGATTGTTGCCATTCTGGAAACTGTAAATCCAGAGGCAAGGCATTTGCGGGGCATGCTCTCTCTGAAGGATCTAGGAGGGTGATTCCTAGCCTCTTCCTTGTCTCTGGTCCTCAGTCCTTGGCTTTCTTTGGTTTGAAAGCTGCATCCAACCTCTGCGTGTGTCATCACATGGCCTTTCCTCCTGTGCTTGTTTGTCTTTCCTCTTCTCTGATAAGGGCACCAGTCATACAGGATTTGGGGCCACCCTAATCCAGTGTGATTTCATCTTAACTTGTTTGTATCTACAAAGAACCTATTTCCAAATGAGGTCACATTCACAGATTTTGGGTGGCATGACTTTTGGAGGACACTATTCAACCCAGTACGTTATGGTACTGCTTATGTAAGCTAGAAAACATATAGGGGAACGCTTGCTTTTCGGTTTGTGTGTGTGTGTGTGTGTGTGTGTGTACATATAAAGTATTTGAAATGAACTAAACTCAAGATAATGGTTGTTCTTTTTAGGGAGAATAAAATGAGATTTATATCTTAAAGAGCAAAACGTTAACAGTAACGTTAAGTGTTAAATGTTTAAAATGTTAATGTCAATTGTGGGAGTTTATTACTCTTTGTGCTTTTCTGTATATATTTAATTTTTAAAGAGTTGATATTATATATTACTATATAATATTCTAGCCTGTATAACATATGGAAGAGATCTATATTCAATAAAATCAAATCATATGGGGGAGAAAAGCTGAACAAAAGACCTAGAACCACTAATAATTCTTACATACTTTCTGAGGAGGAAGACATTTTCAGATCCTCAGGGTTTCCTTCTACATGTTATTTGAGTTATTTTAGCATTAAACAATAAATATATATGCTGTGTAATCCAATAACAGTCTACAGCTATTAAACTGTGTGGACATTGAATGCAAGAGATGAGGAATTATAAGACACAAATAAAAAGGTCAAGAACTACAGCCAGGTTACCAAGAAAATTCTCTGTATGCTGCCTGTTAATGCATTAATGTCCCATGGGAAGCTCTGTGAGGTTTGTAACTAGTTATTTTTAATTTTTCTTAAATACGTCCAGAATTTTTAGACAATGACTTATTTTTCACAGGAAGGAAAGACAGACCTTTATGTAAGTTTTAAATTGGATTTCTAATTTTCATAGTAACATAAGTTTACTCTGTGGATACTCATTAAATGTTTGTTGAATGATAGATGAGTAAGACCACTTTTATTCAAAACACTTCTTTCATCCAGTTATATAATTGACATACCCAAGAAAGTGTTAAGAACCAGTGACCCCCGGTTTCGAATAAGAGTGGCTTACGATAATTTCTTTCTAAATACAGGAGCCAAGAGAGACGAGAAACCACACTCTACTCAAGCATATGACCTTTTAAAAGACAGAGACTCCTCTCACTAGTAAAGTTGCCTAATGAGTATCCTGGGTTAGCATTCCCGTGGAGACTTAAAGCAGTGGTTTTTAAGGTTTTTGGTCTTTACACTTAAAAATAATTGAGGACACCAAATAGCATCTTTATATGGATTACTGGTCTCTTCATTACTCATGTTGGAAATTAAAACTGACATTTTAAAACTATTTAATCAGTTTATTTAGAAATAATTATTATAATAAACCCACTACATGTTAGCATCAGTAATGTATTTTTATGAAAGTAACTATTTTCCACAAACAAAATGTCAGCAAGAAGAGTGGCATTGTTTCACAGTTTTGCAAATCTCTTTAATGAACTGCCTTAACAGAAGGCAGATTCTCACGTCTCCTTCTGTATTAAATTTGCTTTTAGACGTGTTATGTAGCCTTTGGCATATGGAACTATACACTTGGGAGAGAATGAGAGTGGAAAGTATTGTCTTGGTATTATCGTGAAAATAGTTTTGACCGTAAGAATGCTCCAGAAATGTCCCAGGGACCCCTAGAAGTCCCAGCACCACGTTCCGAGAACTGCTGCCTTAGAGAGTCTGTCGAAGGGCCTGAGCGCTGCGTCATTCCCTCATAAGGATCCAAACTGGCACAACTAATGGTTTTTAATATTCTCACCTTCTATGGTTTGTTTTATATGTTTTAGTTGATTGAGGTCATTAATACTCATGAATAAATGGAAATGCTTAAAATTTTGCTCTTTTTTTCACTTCACAAACCACTCAGCTACCATGTAGCGGGCTGTACGTGCCAGCCTCTGAGTGGAGTCTGCTGAACGGGCCAGGGTGGGGTTATTTTACGTCAAGGATGCTAGGTGACAAGGGTCTCCTGCCAAAGTGCTGAACTGAGTAAAAATCTTTGTTTTGGAGGCACTGATGGACACTTACATGAAGTTGAAGACAGTATTTCTTTGCTTGTTTATTTTTATCTCTTTCCATGACACTTTCTCATTTTTTAATATTTTTTCGGAATTTGGGGGGAGGCAGACTTGGCAGAGAAATATCTATTTTATTAGTCTTTTAGAAGAACTGCGGTCGCTAGATTTTCAGATACTAATATACATAAAATAAACAACAGGTTTATACTGTATAGCACAGGGAACTACATTCAGTCAGTATCTTGTAGTAACTTATGGTGAAAAAGAATATGAAAGCGAATATATGTATGTTCCTGTGTGACTGAAGTATTGAGAAATTCTGTACACCAGAAATTGACACAACCTTGTAAACTGACTATACTTCAATTAAAAAAAAGAAAGAACTTATGAGGTCAACTATATTATTCAGATTTAATTATATTGGCCTGATTTCATGGATTATGATTGTGGGGTTTTGTTTGTTTGTTTGTTTTGTTTTTGTTTAGTTTTTGTTTAGTAGTCCATATTTCCCTTCTCTTGAAACTTTCTGGCTGTTGCTGTTTTGTTGCTGTCATTGTGATGGTGAGGAAGGGCAACCAAGCACTTACATGTGTAGTTGTTTGGTTTTCCCCCCAGAGATAGTGCGTGGGTGGTTCAGGCTGAGTCTTTGTCTACTTGAAAGTCTTTACTTTTCTGTTTACTTGTGTGATAGTTTCCATAGAGGTAGAATTCTAGAATTAATATTCCTCAAGCATCTGTAGATGTTATTCTGTTGTCCTTCAGACATGTAGTGTTTGAGATGAAAAATCCAGCATTAGTTTACTTTTCTTTCTTTTGGTGCAACAGCTCTGCTTTTTTTTTTTTTTTTTTTGTTCCGATATGCCATACCTTTTCAGATAGAACTCCTTTTTGTCTGCTGATGATAGCAGCCTCTGTTTTCCAGACCTGTTGTTTTCTTTTGTATTTAAGAAGGAAAGAGGAGTAAGTACATCAGCACAGTTCTGCTCTCTCACACTGAAATTCTCACAGCTTACTGTTATGTACTGTTTAACTCACCTTCAGAGCAAAGCCATGGCGTATCAGAAACTGTAGACATGGATAATCCCCTTTTCCCTCAAACGATCATATTCACTTAAACTTTTCTTCCCCCATTACAGATATTAAAAAATATTACTTGGTATTCAGAACGGGTTTTAACTGAAATTTCACTGGGGAGCCTCCTGATACTGGTTGTAATAAGAACCATTCAGTACAACATGACCAGGACAAGAGTAAGTATTCCACAGCTGTTTTTCTACCTTTATACAGATGGTACAATTAAGGCTGTAGTTTAAAACAGTCTCAATGTTTTGAGTGCTAACATTCTCATGGAAAGTGGTGGAAAAATATAGATGGTCATATAGTCACTGTATTATGATCCCAAGGTAATGTGTCTAGTGTTTATTTCTTAATATTTAGTAGGTTGTCTGATCAGAGATATGTCCCACATAATCGAGTATGAGCAGTGGAGCGCATTTAGGTAGCAGATGCTGCGTGTCTCTGCTGGGCTGATAAAACGCATTCACCTTTTAAAAGCAGCAAAAGCAAACTTTAAGAAGATAGCAGCATGGGAAGGTATGAATTCAGATGGGAAAGAAAGGTAAAAGAGAATACTTGAGAGAGTGAAAGGAAAATCTCAACCAGACTGTGTTTGCTGTACCTGGGAGCAGATTTTGGTTCCGGTCAGTAGAGAAGCAGTCTACAGACTCCACAGCTCAGAGAAATGGTCCAGTTTACCGCTCTGTTCTCACTTATTCCCCTCTGAGGCTGACATAGGTACATGTCCGCAGTCTTCTATCTAAAACTCTAGGAGCCACGTGTGTTTCAGAACGGAGAATTTTTTGATTTTCGAAAGGTAATTATAGTCCGTGTGCTGTGTGACCATCCGGTTCTGGAGCAGCACACTGAAACCGAGCATTACTGTTTCTGCAGCAAGAGATTTCCGTCTCCCCCAGGGTGGGGTTAATGAAGACCATAGGTAGCACCTTCATCTTTTGTGCCAGATGTTGCTTCCAAATTAGTGGTGAAAGTACTGAAATTTCAGTGCTTTATGGATTTTGGAATTAGAGGAAATGAATTGTGGCCCTGAGCTATGCAATATCAATGACAGTTGAGTTTGCATTTGCTTCCAGCTTAGAATATCGAGAAGACTTGACATGTGTTTCACGCTTGCTCTTTTCTGACAGGACAAGTACCTGCACACAAATTGTTTGGCAGCCTTAGCAAATATGTCGGCGCAGTTTCGTTCTCTCCATCAGTACGCCGCCCAGAGGATCATCAGGTAAATACGAGCTTTAAAAGGAGTGCTGATTTTTGCCCCTTCTGGCTGCCCTGTTGAAAAGGAGACTATGCTGGTCCCTTTCTAAATGCTGTCTGTGAGGCATATCACATTTTCCTACTTAATTTTTATCACCTTGTTTGGTCGAAAGTACCTTGTTCTGCTTTGTTTCTAACCCAGACTTTTCTAAGTTAATTGCATTTGCTTTCAGCCTTCTTATAAAATCTAGTTTAATGCTTTGCGTGTCAGCTTTTTACAGAGGAGCAGGTGCACTTCTTAGTGATGTAAACTAAATCTTGATTAACGTATTTCCTGAGCATTTTATTGAGCATCACTCTACCCTTTTAAAAAGCAGTCTTCTGTCTCTTTTAGAGAATTCTCTTCATAGCATTTAACCATTAAGTTATTAGTTTCCTATTGCTGCTATAACAAATTACCACAAATTAGTGGCTTAAAAGAACACAAACTGATTCTGTAATTCTATAGTTAGAAGCTCAGCAAGGGTCTCTCAGGCTGGAATCAAGATGTCAGCAGAGCTGCTTTCCTTTCTGCAGGCTCTTGAGAATCTGTTTTCTTGCCTTTTCTGGCTGCTAGAAGCTGCCTACATTCCTTGGCTCATAGCCCTTTCCTCTGTTTTCAAAACCAGCAACGGTAGGTTGTTGAGTGCTCCTCACATCTCATCACTCTGACCTCCTCTTCCACTTTGAGTACCCTTGTGATTGCCTTGGTCCTACCTGAATAATCCAGGATAATCTACCCATCTCAGGGTCCTTAGCTGAGTCACAACTGCACAGTCCCTTTTGCTGTGGAAGGTAACATATTCATAGGTCCATGGATGTTAGCATGTGGACATTTGGGGGGAGCCATTATTCTGCCTGTCACAACATCACTAGAAACCCCTGTCCATTCTCTACTCTGTGCAAAAGATGTGCTCTGTAAGGTTAAGAAAGTTAATTAACAAATGATGAATATCATTTGCACAGATTTTAACAAATGTGGGTACTTTTTGGTCTTCAGCTGGATGCCCAATATTGTCCAAGCAACTCTCAAGTAGAACATTTGTTACGTAAGTCAGTGACGTTAGATCCTTTCCTTTAATTCTTGCTTTTAGGGTGTTGCAGTTCTGATGATTAGTTTTTTTGTGTTCCAGTCATTGGTGATTATCACGAGTCCATATCACTTTATGACTCTGATCTCACTTTCCATCTTTTGGTTGGAGACATTTATTGACCTGGGCTCATTTTTATCAGTTGGAATTAACTTATGTTCTTAGTCTGTTTATCCTCAGAGTTCAGCACAGGATATTTTCCTTTGACTCACTATTTGACCTAATAGTAAATTATTTTGATTTTTTTTTTGATTTGTACTTGAGAGATTGTCCAGTTGGCTGACTTTGGACCAATGCTAACTTCATGATTTAAAGTCAACATAGCATCTGCTCATACCTCAGATTCTTCTGGATGTTCTGAAGAGCCTTTTGCTTCTAAAAATTAACCTTTGTCATCATGCTTTATTTCAGCATGACAGGTTCAGTGATACCTGTGCCGCTTTGTGATCTGTTTTTCTTTGTGTGTATGTGGAGTTTTGCAGTGGTTTTACAGAGGTTTCATTACAAGATTTTCCTCAACTGATACATGAACATTTGGCCTGTTCAGTATGAAAATGCCAGATGAACTGGTTCAGAATTTAAGTTCTGCTCAAATATATCAAGCAAGATTAAATAAAAATTTTCTAGATGTAAAAGAGTTGGAAAAAATGCAAATAAAGCTCTGTGCCCAATTTTCTGTGATGACTAAAGTAGAAAATCAATAGTCTTTGGAGAAATAAGAAATGTAATTTAGATTTATGATTTGGGAATGTTTAGGTCAAGTTTATCATCATTTAAGAATAGTGCTTTACTTCATTTTAATGGAGATTTATTTAGCATTTAGTGAGGAACTTCCTTAAGCAATGCAAGGAATACCAAAATTAGTTATAAAAATTCCTGCCCTTAAGTACCTTGTAATTCAGAGATAAGACGAGGACCAACATATGTTATATCTAGCAGAATGTAGTAAATATTAGAATGAAAGAAAAATTCCTGCGGTGAGGGTGAGTAGTTGGTACAGGGAGTGGTGAGGTCACATCTCATTGAGGAGTCAGGCAAGGTGCGTAGAGGGATGGCTCTACATACTCGTCTGTTAGGGAGAAGCATCAGCCACACAAACCAAAACAAAGCAGAGGGGATGTGCTGAGAGCATGGTGTGTATTTAGAAAATAACCAGTCCATGCAGTTGGCATGCTGTGGGCCAGTACAGAGGTTATAGGAGGGAAGCTTGTAAGAGCCAGCAGGGGCCTTCTTGTGGAAGGCTAAACTATTAGATCCACAGTTTAGGGTAATAGAAGGAATAGAAAGAAAAAAAAGTTCTCCTCTTTTATAACAACAAAAAAGAAAATGTGAATGAATGAGTTGTAAATGGATTTTAAAAGAAGTACTTTAATGTAAATGTCTGGAGTTGTGAGTTTCAGCAGATGATGTTGGTCTATTTGTCACACTGAGGGGCGCGCTGTTCTAAAGTTCCCAATTACTGCCAGTGCTTCTGGTCCCAGGGTCGCAGTTGAGTAGCCAGTGTGGACCAGAGCATCCCCATCGATGATCCAAGAGGGAGCGTGTCGGAAATGCAGATTGTTGGCCCAGCTTCAGATCTGCTGAGTTAGAATCTCCCATTTTAACAAGATCCCCAGATGATTTGTTCATACATTAAAGTTTGGAAAGTACTTTGAGTTTGGACTTGGAAATCAAGATTTATTCCATTAAAAAATATTTGTGTTGAATTGGAAGTGGGGGCCAGCTTTTTTGTGTCTTGAGGAAACTCATTTTCTACTAAATGCTAGTGTTTAGGGTATAAAATTGTAAAGTATAATAAAGAACGCATAACAAAAACCTGTTTAGATACACAGAAGATTTCTTACAGGAGTACAACTCAAGATTCACCAGATGCTTGAGTAACTCTTTCGAGTGAGAAGTAATTAGTTTTCATATACACATTTTCTCAATCCTTTTCTAAGAAGAGACTACACAACTTTGTGTCCATCATTTATAAAACGTAGAGGAGCCAGTGTTTCATGTGATCTTCGACAAAATGCAAAACAGAATAACATGTTTCATTGCTGTGAAAGTAGGATGTGAATGAAGCTTTAGAAAGTCTTCTTAACCGGACATAAATGTATGGAATGATTTCATACGGTGTCTAGGCTCTTGTTTCATGTTTAATGACACTGTGTCTTCCACAGATTCTTGGTATTCTGCAGAAATCCAAACATACATGATTTGGGTTTTGCTTAACTGTGACTATTTTTGGATATGTTATAAGCATAGATATTTGATATGATCATTATTTGGGATTATAGGGTTATTAATTCAGTTAAAGCATTTGTATAGAGTGGATTATATACAAGGGATTATTGTGGGTTACAAAGATGTCATCACTTACTTCCTCCCCTTAAAACTTTTCCTATTGCCTTTCACGTCCAACTCCCACCATCCCCCCTCACTGGCTCCTTCCCCTGGCTCCTCCTTCACCTTTGGCTTAACAGATACTCCTGCTTTTCTCCAGTATTTCATTCTAGATTGCTTTCTTCTTTTCTCTTTTCTCCTTTCCCTTGGGAGTTCACATCTATGTCTGTGACTTCACCTACTATGTGCTGTTATACTGAAAACCATCCAGTCTACATTTATAATCCCAGTCTTTCTCTCTGTTCCTGAGGCAGGCAGTTCAGTGTTGTGGTTAAGAGACCCTGAGTTTAGGTTCCCAGCTTCAAAATTTACTAGCTATGGAATCTTGGAGAAGTTACCTAGCTTCTCTGTGCAGCGGTTTCCTTGTCTGTAAGATGAGGTGGCAGTAGTTGCTGTCTCCATGAATAGGGTGAGGATTAAATGAGTTACTATTTGTAAAGGGCCTGGCACATAATATTCATGATAAAAGTGTTGGCCACTTGAACCCTAACTCTGCTAACCTCACTACCTGGATAATCCCACACTTAACCTCAGACTTTTATTTTTTAAACTGAACTCATTTAAACTCATCTTCCTGTTAAATTCCCCCTCCACAGCCACCTAAATTGCTAAGCCGGAAACCCACAAGTAATTCTGTACCATCTCTCCCTTCCCCTCAAATGCTGTATCTTCTTGGGTCCTAGAGTTCTGTCTAACTACCATTGTGACTTGCTTCATACCTGCTTTTCTGTCTCCACTACTACTGCCTTGGTTGACGTGTTCATCATCTTCACCCAGGACTACGTCGTTAGTCAGCCTCGTCCTTTTGCCCCGCTACCTGCCCCTCTACAGGCCACCTCTGCACTGCTCCATTCATATGAAAAGCAAAGCTAATCATTTTTGTATTGCTTCCTATGCTTAAAATCACTACATGACTTCCTGTTGCCAGCAGGTTAAAATTCAGCCTCTTTCAAGTGGCTCTCAAACATGGTTGGTTTTGCCTCCAGGGGACATCTAGCAATGTCTGGAGTCAAGTAGGGTTTTTTTTTTTTCCCCTCCTTTTTTTGGTTTTTGTTTCCGTTTGTTTGTTTTTCGGGTTTGTTTGGTTGGCACAACTGGGCACAACTGTTTGGTTTGCTACTGATATCTAGTGGGTAGTGTCCAGGGATATTGCTAAATATCCTGTAATACACAGGACGACAAAGAATTATCCAGCCCAGAACGTCAGCAGTGCTGAAGCTGAGGCCTTGTCTGACATGATCTGGGCCCTGCACTTTGCTCTTAATCATCTGTCACTAACTGACACTTACTGCTCTGTCCTTACTGAGTCTTTATAGTTCCCTGTCTTCCGTAGCTGCACCCCTGTATCCAGACAAATGTGGTCTGGAACTAGAAAAAGCTGAGGCAGTTCCTGCCTGCTATTACCTCTTTCTGTAGGTTCTCTTCTACCAGCTTCCCACCCCTCTATTCTGTTTTATCTTGAACCAGCAGTGCCCCACTCCGCCATACAACCCCTAGGCCTGTTTGT